CTTTTGTTCTTCAGTCTAGTTGTGGAGGACATCGCTTCACTGGCCCATGTTGGTATTATTGCGCTCTTCGCAGGTGAGGCAGATCAGTCGCTGGCCACTGGATGGCCGCTCACAGCGGCTGCCAGCCACTCACGGTAGCTTACAGCAGCCCACTCCAGCAGGGGCTGCAGCCTATGCCCTCGCTGGCGACTCAGGGCAGCCCAGCTCCAGGTAGAGCTGTTGTTCACCATCTTAGCTGTAGAGGGCGCAGCATCACTGGCCCTAATGTGGGATCTGAACCCAGGCTCTGTTGCTCAGCGCTGGTGTCCCAAGCCAGCTCTTAATCAACGTGCCACTTGGCCGGCCCCATTTCTAATACATTTTAACGTGGTAAATGAGTGATGTCTTGCAATACAATAGTTTGTTTCTGGAATGAATTATGCTCTCAAACCAAGGTATTACTGTATTTTAAATTAAACTTAAGATAACTATGACAACAATAGTTATTCAGTTTTCAGGTATTCACAAGAGTGATAGAAAATGGGACTATACAACTTGACAATATCTTACGATTTTAAGGGCATGATGGAAATTAAACAAACACTACATAAACTGTGGAGCTACATAAAGATCAATGTATTTTAACCTTACCAGAGTTGCTGTTGTAGTATATCTTGAATGCCACAACACATGGAATACGTATTGACAGGACAGTTTAAATCCTTTTGTAACCACTACCAACTGGGAATCCTGAGATGTCCGAGGCATGTTTTTGATAAATTCCTGTTTTATTTCATCTCCTGCTTGTTGTAGAATTGATTTTGACACAGGACCAACTTCAAAATCACCACTTGAATTTATAGAATTAACAATTACATCTGTCTGAAAGGGGAAAAAAATGGACAGGATTCACTGCTAAATTACTTTTTGTTAAATGACCAATTTAAATATTTATTTCCCTGAAAAGCTTTGAGAAAAATTTTTTGAAGAGCTTAAATCCACAAAAATATCATCTACTAATGAATAGAAACTCGTATTTCCAAAGAGTGATCATTTGATCAGTCTGTTTATCCTATTAAGTAATTAAAGTGTGTGGATGATACAATTTTTATTGCAAATATCTGTCAGCCCCTTGCTGGCTTATTCCCAGATTCTGAGCATTCCCTGTGATTTAAGATTTATCAATCAATGGTTTCACTCCCTGCCCCGCTGTCATCGCTTTTTCTATTTTTGTTTGAATTTTCTTAAACAGAATGGAAATAAAATTTCTCAGGAAATGTCAACCTTCCAATTTTTTAAAGGTGAGTAGTACATGGTTAGAAAAAATGCAAATGAAACAAAAAACGTCTTCAGCAAAAAGTAGGCCTCCCTCCTGGCAGGATCTCCAGGCCTCCCACTCATTCACCTAACCTACAGGCAACCGCTTTTACCAGTTCTTCATTTGTCCTTTCAGAAATAGACTGTACATACACATGGGCTACGTTTTAAGTAATATCACCTCGGAGTTAGCTCTCAGAGCTCTGCTGTGCTAAAGGAGTCGTATCCCTCTTTCCCCCTAAATCATCCCAATGGCTTTGGCTCCCTTTGAGAGTAACTTAGATACTTCTCCTAGATGTTCATGAATGCTTCACTTTGAAAGTGCACTCAAAATTTGCAATGTGGGCCCCCCTCCACCCTGCCTGTGAACTCCCGAATGCCCAGTGAGCTCACAGCCGGCTTCTCCTGAGCCTCAGCCTATGAGCCACCGTCGCAGTCCTGCTAGGCGCTGCTCTCTGCCACCGCACTTCAGCAGCAGTTGCAGCCACCCCAGGCCAGTCCTCCAGGCTTCCTGCACCCCTGCCCTGCTGCCGCTATCCAGTCAGTTCAATGCTACTCCCATGGGTCACAAGAGACAGATGAGGAGTTTGATGCTCGCTGGGTGACACAGACATACTTTAAGTCAGATGTTGGTGCTTGGGAATTGCATAATGGGGTAAACATGCTTGTTGGCTATGATCTGGTTCCAGAACCCAAAATTATGGATGCCACTTTGCGGGTATGCAGATGGTTAAATGATTTTTTTTAAAACACTTTTTTTTTTTTAATTTTTATTGGGTAACTGTGTTTTTTCCAGGATCCATCAGCTCCAAGTCAAGTCATTGTCCTTTGATCTAGCTGTGGAGCAGCTCAGCTCCAAGTCCAGTCACCATTTTCAATCTAATTGCGGGGTGCGTTAGAACACGTGCTCTGAACAAGGTTGTGGGTTTGATTCCCACATGGGCTAGTGAGCTGTGCCCTCCCCAACTAGACTGAAGACAACGACTTGAGCTGAGCTGCCACTAGTTAAATGATTTTGCTAGTGCTATCTGCATTCTAGAAGTTGTTAAGGACAAAGCAGGACCTCGTAAGGAAATCTACCCTTATGTCATCCCAGAACTTAGACCAACTTTTAATGAACTGACAATCTCCACTCCAGAGAAACTAAGCCTTGACAAAATGTAAACCCCATGGGTGGGCTTCCCAAGGATTTACTGGTCATGCTACTTAATGTACACAATCACCTGGAAATACTGATGATAACATATTACCTTATTTGAACAAGTTTTCTTTATTGAGTACCAAACCTTGTAATGGTAACTGGGACTTTAATAAAAAGGAAATGAGTTTGAACTGGAAAAAAAAAAAAAAGAACTTGCAATTTGGGGGCACTGGCACCCTTTAAAATTTTTAAGATTCCTAATATTCTTGGCAATAAATATATAAATACAATAAAAGTTTAGTTAAAAGGATAAGTTATTCAACTCGGATGTTTCCACTTTAATTTTAAATTGGTATATTAATGACATAGCAAATATTTCATTTTGTGGGGGTGCCCTCAGTTTTCTTTCTAATTGTCTTGCAGGCTATACATAGTATTTCTCCAGTTATGATTAATTCTATTTGGTTGTGGCCACAGGAGAGTCTTAAGTGTGACATCACTGATTCAGAAAAGGAAAAGAATATAGCCTTGTATTCTTCCTCTTGCTCTGTTGCAGTCCCTGCTTCCTGTAGCCCACTTCACTTATTCGTCACTAATTTGATCAACACCTAGAAGCATGCTCAGATAGGGCTCTGGGGTTTCAGAGATGAACAAGCCATGATCTCCATCCTCAAGGTGCTCTCTGCCTAGTCAGGGAGCTGCACTAACCCAGAAATACCTAGGTTTGCTGTTACCCTGACTCCCTCTCCTCCCTGCCAGGGCCCTTTCTTTTGTGCCCAAGGAACCCCAGCTAAATGCTAAGTCACAGTTTGTATTCTCCAAAACCTGTGGCACAGAGCCATATACTCAGACTACAACTTACAGCTCCACCTAGGTCTCCTGCCTGGTCCAGCCCATTCTTCTCAGTCTATTAACTCCTCTGTGTTTCTCTAATCAAATCATTCTAAGAACCAGGCCTCTCCTCCTGCCAATTCGTGTCTATCATAACTTGAAGTCAGATCCAAAACTCACATCTTCTGAAGTAATCTTTCTTGGTCCACTCCACCCCACTCTTGTCACAAATTTACATACTCTTAAATATTATGAATTCATTTTGTATTAAGGCTTTTTTGTTTACTATTAATAGGTTGTTTCAGAAATGTTCAGATGGCTTGTCTCCCAATGAGATTTTTCAAATAGAGAATTTTTTTTTAACATAAAAATAATATAATAAATTTTAAGTTTCTTGGATCAAACATTGTTCTATTTCCTTACGGTGCCTAAGAATAATAGCAATAATAATTATAAATACTTACCATGTGCCAAACTCTATTCTAAGCATTTTATAATATGTGCATTATCTTTAATTCTAAAATACAAGTACTATTATTATCTTCATTTTCCAGTTGAAGAAACTGAGGACCAAAAGATAAAGTAACTCGACTCACACCACGCAGTTAACAAATGGCAAAGCTAGCATTCAGATACCGATGGCCTGTCTCTAAAGTCCATATACTATTAACCTTAACAAGATTAAACAGTGTGTGAAATAAAATGTATTCGAAACATACTTGATACAATAAATAGTTCAGGGATCCTGGCAGTGCAAGAGAATAGAAACAAAGATTTACCTTCTGTAATTCAATGTGGCCTAGGTCAATCTGGAGAGTGAGGTTATTCACAGCCATCATATTGAAAGGAAGGGTGGCTTCTTGACTCACCCAGGACACCAGCTCGTTTTTCCCTAGGATGCTTTCTGAAGCAACTTTAAAGGCAGCAACAGTAGGGTCTTCATTGCTTACCAGGTGAATTTCTTTCAAATTACCAGTCAGTTGCACATTTTGGACATAATGATTGATAGTTGCCACAATGATCTGTGTACACAAATCCAGAGGGAAGTTGAAAATCCCAGAGCTCAGGGCTGGAATTGCTACTGTCTCAAAGTCACCATAGTGGAAATCGACACACTTCAGAATATTCTCAATAGCCCTTTGCAACGTACTGATACATCTCTCTCTATCCACCTCTACCCACCGAGGCCCAACAGCATGGATAATGAGTTTGCAGGGAAGCCTCCCTGCAGCTGTGACAGCTATCTCACCGGCTGGTATTCTACCATGTGTGGCAACAAATTTTGTGCTCATCTCTTGGATTTCTTGGCCGCCAGCTTTCACCAAGGCCTGAGCCAGGCCTCCCCCATGCTTAAGGTCTTCATTGGCAGCATTCACCACAACATCAACAGCATGTCTGGTGAGGTCATCCTTCCAGACAGATAACTCGAGCCTAGGAGTCAGCATCTTTCTGAAGACTTGCAGAGACTTACTGTTACCTTCCTGGACTGGAGAGACCAGGGTAGAGATACAGCCAAATTTTTTCTGGAGGACTTCACACAGCTGACTCTCATTATTTTTAAAAATTTTGAAGTCACTGTGATTAATGGGTATTTGCCAACTATAGTTTTCTCTGAGAATGTCAGTCTCTGGAAAAGGAGAGAAGATAAAAAACAAAGAAATGAGCAAGGGTTCCTTTGAAAAGGTTGTAATTCCACTTCACTTCAGGAGACTGAGTGTCCTATGTGCAAAAGAGAGATGAACTTCCTCTAGTCCCCTTCCCAATTCTCCTTCTCACCCAGAGATGTAATTAGACAAAGGATATCTAAGAGTTTTCAATGGTAAGTCACCCATAAGTGCTGAGTTTTGGTTTGGCATATAGTAAATACTCCATAAGTGGTAGCTACTATGATACAATGATGGTGGTGAGAAAACTGTGTGTACGGTGGCTCATGAATTTTAAAATAAATGTACAAATGGTGAGTTTGGGAAGAGCCGTGCTTCAGGCACAAGTATTAGAAAGAACTTAACTATGAGTCAAAAATACATGGAGGCTTTATTCACAAATTGTTTGCTTTTGTCAGTGTCTTAGTCTGGGTTCTCTTAGAAGCGACTCTGAGATAAGATTTGAGTTTAAGTTTATTTGGGAGGTGATGATACTAGCCATAACCAGCGGTTTGGGATGGGGAGGGCCAAGTGGTAAATTAAGACAGAGAAGGGAAGGAAATGAATAAAGGATGTGTTATGAAGCAAATGAAGCTTACCTCCCCTGAGGGACACTTGTTTTCTCAGCGTTAGACCGCCGGAAAGATAAAGAAGCTGGGATATTCATACAACTGCTATCAGTCATTAGTCAAGGATGCTCCTGTCCATCAAACGGGCGGAGTACCATACTCTAGTGACATGGCACAATTTTGGTGCAATTAAACGTGACTGACTCAAAATTACTTACTGTATGTGTCAGACAAGAAGATGTGCTGCTCAGATACCTCTTCAATGTGGTTATGAAGGAGAGAATATAGTTAGCTGACAGCCCCTCAGAGCCCATCCCAGTTTTCCAGCCAAGGTCACACTACTCTCAGGGTGGCCTGCATCAACAGCTGAGCAAGGCCATTTATGTCTAAGGTAGGCCTCCCCTAATGGGCAATCTCAGGCTGGCAGAGCTTTTTCAGGTTTTCCTTACAGTCTGATGGTTCCACCTCCTCAATCTGGTTTCTTCTCTTTTCCTTTCACAATAAACCTTTTGCATTCCTAACTCCATCTCAGTTTCTGCTTCCTTGAGAACTCAGCCTGTAACAGTGTATTTCAATGGAGTCTAAGGCATCATTATTATATGCCACTGAGAAAGGAAAAACGATGCCAGTTAAACAACAGAACATTATTGATCGATTAGGGTGGAGCTTTATTTTAGAGATGTGAACAAATGTGCATCCTAAAACAGGTAAAATGCGGTAGTTAATTATATTTTACTTCAACTCCCATTTCTAATCTGAGCCACCTAGAAAGCTCTCTGGTGGTTTCAATTACCTAAAAGAAGCAGCATGTGAGTAGCCAGATCTAACTGGCCTACGTTTGGGTTGAAAATTACAAGGGGGCCACCCCTAGAACTAGGCAGGTCCCATTTGGCTCTTACAAAGCTCTTGTTGAGCAAGGGACAATCAGTGGGTCATCTCTTCTGACCAGCTTCAGTTCTAGGGCTGTGGACAGAAGAATCTGACATCTTGTGGGCAAAGGGCAGGATCAATGGGAGCCCTACGAGAGCATGTGCGCGCGCGCCACACGGCCTCTGAAGCAGTCCCCCTTTGAGGCATGGGCCAGGTCACCACAAGGTCCTGCAATCACGCACCTGAGCACCTGTAGGGGAGACAGTCTCCTGTTGTATTCCCCTTTATCCACTGAGGACAGACATGATCAAAGACTTTCTGAAACAAGACCGAGAATGAGGTGATCCTACCTGATTTCTCATTGTAAACTGCTGCTCCAGCACCCTGTGAAAAATGAGAGTGGTTTAAAACAAACTGAAACCAAATGACTACAGATTACTGATAACAGATACAGCCTAATAAGCACAAAGCAACAGAAACACTGCTAAAAGCACTGGGTTTAGGGGGGGAAGGGGAACACGTTTGTTCATCTGCTTAATCTGTGTGCCTGAAATCCTTGAAACACTAAATGTTCTAGCAAACAATGACCCTACCCCATTTCCCTAGAGGCCAATGTACTTCTAATTCAAGATGAGGCAAAGGGTTGGAGATTAACACTTGAAAAGGCCCAAAGGTCACAGACCAGAATGACCCAACACTTTCAGACAGGCCTCCAATTTCCGAAAGCTTGTAGGGTTTCTCTAGACAGAAGACATGGGGACATGAGCTTCATCAGCTATATTTCCCTGTCAGTAAGGGCCCACTTTTCAATTGCTTATCTTCCTCCATCCTCCTCCGCTCCCCCATCCTGCAAAAAGCAGAATTGTTGAATAAGAAGATAGAATACAAATGACACTGAGGTCACATTTGAAAAAATCTTGGATCCTCATGTTGGCTCTGCTGATTAGATTAGCATGTTCTTGATGCCTCTTCTCCCACATGGTATAAGGAGAAAACTTTTATTGGGCCATTAAAACCAAATAAGAATGCTGAGTATAACTGAAAACCAAGATTTCTTGCTTAGTTGTAGGAAGAACTATGCATGTACTGATCAAAGTTCATGATTTCTATGAGTATACATTCATATAAAAGTACTTTTACCTTGGGACAGTCCATCCTCCAGTTTCCTGGGGTCTTTAAATGTTTATACTCTGCTTTGCGTTTCTGAGCGGAGACTGTTGTTGCCAAATATGGTGGTCCACTTCTAGGAATGAATAGAAGGGATGCAATAAGCACAGACCAGTGTCTTAGGAAATTTAGTAAGAATACACCATAGGAAGACAAAACCTGATTTCTGATCTTGAGTAGCTTTCAGTTTTACTGGTGAAGACGCACTGTTGTTTTTCTGCTGTAGTTACTGTTTACCTTCCATCCTTTACAGAGAGGTTCCAGTTGAAACTGTAATGGCGGTTTAGGGAAGGGAAAGAGCCTTACGGGATCCAGCAGGGAAAGCTTTATGCAGAAGGTGAGAGAGCCAGACCTTGAGGGATGGAGCAGGTTTGTACACAGATAGGTAGAAGAGGAGAATGACTCCAAGAGGTAAGAGCACAGCATTCAAAGAACAATGAGAAAAAAACAGCTTCATGAGTGAGTATGAAGGCCCCTGAATGCTGAAGAAAGGGAAGTGCCTGTCAAGGGTATCTGTTGCTGAGTTTGTGATAAATTTCTTGATCTAATTAGAAAGGGGCCTGTCTGATAAAAATCAGAAACTTTGGAAAAACATACTTTAATACTTTTCCATCTGATACATAGGAATTAAAGACCAAATTTTTAGGAGATCAATGAAAATGCTTAACGACACAGTTGCCTACATTTGTTGCCCACATAGTTGTCATTAGGACTCTGAAATGATTTCTAATGCCTTTGCAATAGAAAACTTTTGTACGACTATCTACAGCATCAGAGCACAATTATTCCTAAGTGTCAGGGAAAGCAGCAAGTCCAATCCAGTCCTAAAGTCTGAAGACAAGATGCAATTTTGCCTCCAGAGGGCACTGCTGTTTTCTTAAAGAAGGAAGTCTTCCAGCAAACGCCTCCTCAGCCTTTGGCTGAGGGCATCCAGTGAACTTTTGCTTTAGATGCTGTCGCACTTGTTTTTTTCTTTAGACCAAGCTTTAAAGGCCTAAGGATAGACTCTTGAGGGTGGGGCTGAGGGGGTATTTAACCCCAAAGAAATTAGAAACAAGGAGCGTATTGCCTCAAACATTCATTTTAAAAACAAAACCAATTAACAACAAAAGCCTTCCCGACTTTCCATCACTGGTTCCTACTGTGTCCTTTTCTCTGCATGCTCAGCATGAAGAAGTTGACTGTCCTCCATCTGTCTGCCTGCTCAGCCCACCGTGGGGGGCCTCACCCCCAGCACTCTTCTGAAACCGCTCATCAGTGACCTCCACGAGGTAAACCCCAGTGGACTCTCTTCTGTCGTAATCTTTACTTGACTCCTCTCTATAGTTATTTCATTCTTTGAGTCCTAAAACTCTGCCTTCTTGGCTTCTCTGATGCTATCTTTCCTTGGTGCCTTTGTTACCTGTTCACCTTGCCTTTACAGGCCTTTTGCCTGGATTCACCTACCTACCCCCACCCGACCCCCTCCGATATTCATGCTTTCTCTCCTGGATTCCACAGCTCAGTCAACGATACACCATTTACACACTCAAGTCAGAGGTCTAGAATCTTCTCTTCTGTCCCATATGGAGGCCATCACTGGGTCCAAACCACTCACTTTCAAATATGCCCCTACCCTCCTTGCCCACTGACACCATTTCACTGCAGGGCCTCAGGGCCTCTTCCCTGAGCTATGTCAAAACATTCTCTTTAAAGTTGTTGTTTTTTTAATTAAAGTTTATTGGGGGTGACAATGGTCACATTGGTTTCATGTGTACAATTCTGTAACACAGCATCTATATATCATATTGTCTGTTCACCACCCAGAGTCAGTTCTCCATCACCATATATTTGAGCCCGTTTACCCTCATCTGCCACCCCTTTTCTCCCTTCCCCTCTTGTAACCACTAAACTATTGTCTGTGTCCAGAAGTTTTTGTTTCTTTGTTGCTTTCAGCTCTTTAAAGGTTTTAAAGTATTTAATTTTACATTGTATTGTTTGCATAGGTATTATGTTTACTGGTTCAAGTTCAAAATCTGTAAAAGGCTCCCTCCTACCTCTAACTGCAGAATCATGAAGCCCATGCAGCTGTAATTCCGATAGTACTACCAAATTGCTCTCCATAAAGACTGACCCATTTGCAGTCTTACCAGTCACGTGCAAAAACCTTATCTCAGGCCTGTCTGCCTCCATTCATCCCTGCTTGGAAATGTGTCCTGCACATGGTTGTCAACACTATGTTTCTAAAACGCACATCTGCCATGTCAGTCTGCTTCCGGGGCTCACAACCCTTCCATTTCTCCCCACTGATCTTCAAACCTTTTCACTGTCTGGACCTGTGCTATCCACTGTGGGCCATTAGCCACGTGTAGCTCTTGAGCTCCTCAAATGTGGCTACTCAGTCCCAACTGAGTGAGACGTGATGTGATGTAAGTGTGAGAGAAACACTGGATCGTAAGGACTCAGTATGACAGAAAGCATGTAAAATACCTCATAAGTTTTTAAGATCGATTACATGCTGAATGATTAATTTAGGATACATAAACGATTACATTTAAGCTATATTGAATTAAATAACATCATTAAAATTAACTTCACCTGTTTATACTCTTTAAAATTTGGCACTAAATATTTTTAAATTAGATATATGGTTCCTATTATATATCTACAGGACAGCACTTCCTCGTCATTTCCCTCCCAGCTCATCTCCTCCAAGGCCTAGTGCTCCCACTGTGCTTCAGATCTTAAGGGTCCCTGCTCCTCGCCCCCCACCTCCCACCCCTCCACACTCACACACATTCTCTAAGATTCTGCTTCAGATTTCCTCTTGGGGGGCTTTCAAGAGATTTGCTTCTTTATTCACAAGTCCGCCTCCCTTTACCAGCCTGTGAGGTCGGGGCCTCGGTGCTCATCCTTATCCCCTAGGGCACAGGGCAGCACCCAGTCCGGTGTTGTTGGCCAAATCTAGGAACCAGGGCAGGAAAGCTCCAAGAGCCAGTCTAAAGGATAGAGCTGGAGGGAGGTAGCGGGCGATATGTCCTAATGCAGGTGAACCATTTCAAAGTTTTTAAAGGTAGGTATTAATCCGAATTCAGAATGTGAATTGCATTTTAGCTGCATGTAATAGTAAGAATAAGAGTTAAAAGGAATCACAAACTCGGGAGAAACTTTCTTTGATTTCAGCATCTGAGCAGCCTCAAGCCTCTCATGGGTTGGGGGAGGGAGCCGCCTGGCCCGAGGAGCCCGCTTCTCGCCCGCCCTACCCCCACCACGCCCATGCCCGCAGGAGAGGAGACGGGAGAGCCGTGGGCGACCACCGCCCCAGGGGGAGGCGGGATGGACGTACTCACCCGGCCAGACCACGGCAGGAAAGGAGGCAAGGAAAGGAAGGGGAGCAGCTGTTCCAGGAACAGGGAGGGATCTGGGGGAAAGCGAAACTGAAACTTTGCAGCCGAAGGCGACAAGGCGGGACGCACCCCTTCCTGCCCCAGTCCCGGCCCTGCCGCGTCCAGAGCCGCTGCGCCAGCTCGTCGCCGAGAGCCATGGCCTCGAACCAATGCCCACCGTCCCCGCTGCTCGTGCGAGTGTCCGAGCCCGGCCTGCAGGGGACCCTACGCAGAAAGCTGGAACGCTACTTCCAGAGCCGGCTCTCCGGCGGCGGGGAATGCACCGTCCGACCCTTGGGCCCTGACGATCCGGACATCTTCGTGGTGAAGTTCTTGGAAAGGGCAGGTGAGCCGCGGGCCCGGGCTGGGGGTGCAAAGGCCGTCCCTGCGGCCCAGCCTCGCTGGATTCCAGGCAAACTCAGTGTGAGCGGGCCTAGGAGAGAGGGCGGGAGAAAGTATGGCACAGTCTGGTGGGGCACAGAAACCGAGGGCACTTGCTGACAAGAGACGAAGCTCGCAGCCACAGAGGATAGAGTCAGAGGTGCCCAGTCTGTGATCTGGTCTGACAGCGCCTTTAAAGTTCACGCTTTCCAATATCCTCCTACGGACTCATAATTCTCAGCTTTCAAAACAACACCTCCCTCCCCCACCCCACCCCCAACGTTTGTCACCCTGTGCCCTTTAGATTTTCCACTTTTATGTTTTAATATAATGGAATAAATAAATATATATACATATATATTTAATATAATGGAATAAATAAGTATTCCATTGATTTATTTTTGAGGATTACAAAAGTAATATAGCGCACTATTGGAAAGAAAAAAGAAGCAAGAAGAAAACCACCTGGAAATAAACAATGGAACATTTTCGTATATTTCTTCCAGGCTTTTTCTATGAATGTCAGAAAACATATGTATATTTACAAAATTCGGAGTCTGCACTGTTAATTTCCTATTTTTTCACTCCACTGTATATGATGAATATTATTCCACATCATTGACATGGGAAACCGAGAGTTTCAGAGACATGACTTTTAATGAGTGGACGATGTTCCATTATCACTGAGCTTTCATTTCCACAGTAAAACATAAGCTGCCTGCTTGAGAGTTTTGAATAAGCTCTCTTACCCTCCTATCACCAGCCCACCATCCGGGGTTGCAGGGAGCAGCCTTTCCTGGGAGGGTGCTGGGGCAGGGTACAGATGTATGAATAAGAGGATTTTTAAAAATCACTCCCATGTCTATGTGTGTGTGTGTTTGTGTGTGTTTAATGTCTCCACTGAAGCTAAGGAGAGAGTGTTGAAAAATGAAAAGCACCAAATTGTGATTGGCGACAAACCTGTGCCTGTTTTCCTGGAACCCACTGAAAATCCAATAGAGAAGACTAGAAGACCCAGAATGCCTTTGTTGACACAGTCACAAGAAGGGGTGAGGTCTGGTGAGACGCATCCACATAAAGAACATATTCCTCATGCTGTCGACTCCTGTGGCCAAAAGGTGAGTATTGAAAGGAGCTGGGTATATGCTTGCAACTTCCTCTCCAGTCACTGTACCTTTCGTTATTGGTCCATCAGTCATTGGCTGAGGACTTACTATGAGCCAGGCACTGTTTTAGGCACTAGAACACACAGATGAACACAAACAGGTCTATGCTAGGGGTGGGGAGTTACAAAGAAGGACTATAAGCAAGTAAACAAAATAAATAAAACAATTTCAGAAAATTATATGTGCCCATAGGGTGACAGGGCCAGGAAGGGGAACAGGTGGCGCTACTTATGACCAAAAGTCAGAGAGAACTTCTCTGAGGTGACAAATTTGGCCTGAGGCTTGAGTGATGAGAAGGAGCCAACCAAGGAAAGAGTCATTTGACAAATCATTATCAACTGTCTACTGTGTGCCAGGCACTATTACAGGAACGCAGCAGACCCTGCCCTCAGGGACCTTCCATTCTAGTGAGGGAAACAGACACTAACAGTCAACAAATAGATTTAGAATAAAATGTCTGTCTGGGCCGGCTGAGTGGCTCAGTTGGTTAAGAGCTCGCTCAAGAGTTTGAGCTCTGAGCAACAGCGGTTCGAGTCAGCCCGAGCTGAGCAGTCGCCAGGTGGCAGGATGGCTCAGCTAAAAAAAAAAAAAAAAATAGAATAAAATGTCTGCCAGTGAAAGTGCTAGGAAGAAGAATAAAGCTGGGTAAGTGACAGACAGTGACAGGACCACGACTTTAAATAGGATATCAAGAAAAGCCTCTCTAATGAAGCAGCATCTGAGGAGAGGCATGAATGAAGTAAGGAAGCTAACTTGGCTAAGTGGATTTCTGAGGAAGAATGTTGTAGCCAGAGGGAAGCCCAAGTGCAAAGGCCCCAAGACAGGAGCTTACATCCTGAGCCCCAGGAGCTTCAAGGAAAGAAGCCCATCTGGCTGGAGGATAGTGAGCAAGGGAGAGAGTGATAGGAGAGGAGCCTGGAGAGGTATCCAGGAGTCAGGTCTTTGGGGATGAAGGTAAAGACTTTGGATTTTCGTTTAAATGGTAGGGGATTAGCGGATGGTTTTGATCTGATTTACACCTCTAAAGGATCACTTTGGCTGCTGCATAGAGAACTGAATGTAGGGGCTAGAGTGGAAGGTCAGAGTCCAATGAGGAGGGATGGTAGTGGGTCAGGTGCAAGATGATAATGCCTTGGACTCTGGGTGGTCCTGATGGAGGTGTGAGAAGTGACTGGATTCAGGAAACATTTGAAGGAGGACACATGCAGAGGAAATGGCATGTGCAAAGATCTTGAGGAGGAACAACACATTAGAAATCTTGCTTTTATGTGACATTCGATTTGCCTGTCTTTTTTAGCCTGGTGTGCTTGTCTTATATTTCAGCTTCTAAAGGTTAGGGTTTAGAAGACCCAGCAACATTGCATGTGGTTAGGTGTTTAGTTATTTATTTATTTATTTTAAAGGAAAGGGTTGAAGAAAAGAAAACACAGTAATGGGAAAATACATCTTCCTCAGATTTATGGCTCTCTCCAGGCTCACAGACTCCTTTGTAAGAACCACAGCAGCTTGCCCAGAAAGACGAAGTCTCTTCCCTCCACCCCATTCCCCAATGTCAAACAGATAGTGGCAGCTCTAGAATCTAGTCTTTTTATCCACAGAGCTTTTAAACATGCTTATGCCCAAGCTCTACATTTACACCAGAACCCCTGGAGGTGTGCCTGGGCCTTGGCTGTTTTTCTTTTTAACTCCCCAACTGATTCCAAAGTGCAGACAGGGCTGAGAACCTCTTGGCTTAACGTGCTACATCCTCTGTGAAAAGGATTTGAAAGAAGTCATTCTTTGTTAAGGAAGAACGTATGGGTTTTTTTCTCTAGTCTCTAGACATGCTCCTGAGAGGAGACTGTTGGCCTGGATGTCTGACTGGTTTTATTTGTTCCTTTTAAAATTTCAGATCTTTCTTACTGTCAGAGCTGACCTGAACTGTAACCTGTTCGCTAAAGAGCTGAGGGAACACATAACCACTCTCTGCCCCAATGTTGAAACAGTGGAGGGCTACGATGGAATTAAGGTGGTGTGTGGTGACTTTGAAGATATTGAAAAAATACATGGCTTCTTGAGTGAGCAACTCCTAAAAAGTGAGCGGAAGCATGAATCTTCCCTTTTGACAACAGAGAGGGAGCCAATCCATCAGCAGGGCCGGAACAGCTGTGTTTCTCCCTCTGACCCAAAAACCAGGTCAGAAGAAAAAAGCAACCATTATGAAGTTCCCCTGCCTTTGTTTGAATACTTCCAATATACCTATCCTGAAAAAATGGACTCGATAGAGAAAAGGCTTGGAATAAAAATAAAACGTCGGGAGAGTTCAAATGAGGTCTCAATAGACTTTACCTCAAGTCCATCAAGTGACATCAGAGTAGCTCAAGAATCTTTTATCAGTGAAATTCAGAAGTCCATAGGAACCCTGGAGCAGAAATGTATTGCTTTAGCAGACAGTAAGCAGGCAAATAAAATCAAACAGGAATTGAGTCACAAATTCTCAAAGCTCTTAATAAAACAGAATGGAGGAGAATTGACTCTCTTTGGGACTCAAGGTGACATTTCAGCTGCCACACATTTTCTTTCCCTCCAAATCCCTGAAAGTCTTGACAAGGCACCTGTGGAAATACAGATTCTCGGGTGTTTAATGAATGGAATTGAGGTTGACACTGTTCACTATCAGCTTTTAAAAGATGAATTACTCCAGAAGATAAGAGAGATCGAAGAAAAGTACAGCACTCAAAGTGAGGTTTTGGGAATAAATCAGAAAACCTGTATCCTATTTAAACCTAAGTTCAAGGAGTTGGACCTGTCTATGCATGCTTATGCAAGTTTCATCGATGCCTATCAACATCTCTCATGCCAGCTGATGACAGAAGTTTGTTCACTGAAACCTTTGGGCAAGGGGAGAAAGCACTTATATGGGATCAAGTTCACTGATGACTTTAGAAAAAGGCATCCATATGTACACTTCGCGCTAAATCAAGAGTCAATGACTTTGATTGGGTTGCCAAATCACCTTGCAAAGGCAAAGCAGTATATGGTAAAAACAGGGGGAATGACCCTGTTAGCTGGAGAGAAGTGGAATGAGGATCATGAAACACCCATGGACATTGATAGTAACGATTCAGAAACAGCTTCACCAACATTCCAGCACACTGCCAGTTCCGGGGCATCGGGAGTGGACAAGGAAGAGGATGTGTGTATCATCTGTATGGAGCCCATTACTAACAAACGAGTGCTACAAAAGTGCAAGCACGCGTTCTGCAGCCCTTGTATCGAGAAAGCCATGACATATAAGCCAGTCTGTCCTGTGTGCAATACTTCCTACGGTGTCCAGAAAGGGAATCAGCCACCGGGAATCATGAATGTCACTTACGTAAGAGATTCACTTCCAGGTTATGAAGGCTATGGCTCCATTGTGATTAATTATAAGATGAAAGGAGGCATACAAACAGTAAGTGTTTCTGAGGCCCATGGGTTTCTTTCCAGTGTGCTAGGATTACCAGAGCAAAAGAGACTGTTCTGTTACCAATTAGACAGTGGGTTTCCCAGTTGACTTATTTCCAAGTGGTGATAAAGGTAACAATGTTTGTGTATAACTTAAGTATTTTTTGTGTCTATTAAGGTAGAGAAAGAGTGGGTGGCAATTATATATTAGGGTGGGAAAAGGCAGGAAGGTAGATGGTGTTCCCAGCATGAATTTGGGGAAAGAGGAGAAATATGAATTATTGGGACTATGAGCAAACCTTCAATACTTTGTTTATTTTCTCTATCTGCAAATGAACACATCTATCTGTATAGTAAACTTCAGACATGGGAGTTTTTTCACGTGACATTGTCTTGTCTTCATACAGATAGAACACCCAAATCCGGGAAGGAGCTATTCTGGAATACAGCGAACTGCCTACTTGCCAGATAATAAGGAAGGACTGGAGGTTTTGAGATTACTTCGTAGGGCCTTTGAACAGAAGCTGATTTTCACAGTGGGAGACTCTCGAGTTTCAGGAGCATCAAATGTCATTACATGGAATGATATCCACCACAAAACAAGCATGGCTGGGGGACCAGAAATGTGAGAACCTTTAAAAACATAATGGTTGCTAAACAGAATTTAGAGGTTATAAGATATTGCAATTTGAGGTTGTGCATATAAGGAGACTGTTTATAGCCGGGGGATTGGATACAGTGAAGTATGTTGAGAGATGCTAATCTCAAAGGCAGAAAGATTGGTTCCTATCACAGTCTACCCTCCCAACCACAAAGTATCAGGCAGTTACTAAACTTTGCATCAAAGGGCAGGGCTGTTCAGAATCCAAATGAATGGTGTCTAAGGTGACTTAATTTGGGGGTTTCTATCTATTTGAAGGGTAGATCCTAGGAATGTTATTAACTTTACATTCTTTTAAGATCACCCTATCTTCTACTTTCTTCACCCATCAGTCTATCGAAATCCTAAATTCATTTGGCTAATAGTACTCTGGAAAAACTCTTATTTAATGTTGTGGAAGTTATATTATAGGCAATCTAATTGTTCTTAATGGAATTCATATAGAATACCTTAGACCCTTAGTATTCAAAGGGGAAAACATCCTAAGACTTTTGCAAATTTTCCAAATTTGAAAATCTTCCTGTAGCATATACTATATAGTTATACATAAAATATAAAACTATATACTATACAATATGTTTTTATATAATATGTATATATAACATGTGATAGTATAGTATGGTTTAACTTTATGAGAATAAAAAAGTTTTGCTGGAAGGCAGATCCAGCTAGGCTTACTCACTAGCTAAATGACTCACATCTGCACACTTACAAGTGGTTATAAGCCATCTGCCTTCAGGATTGCTTGTGAATGTTTGCAACACAATGTTAAAGCCAGGGACCTACTGTGCAGATTCTTTGGCATTATGTGTGATGAAGCTAAGGGACTTTTCCTTCTTTAGGTATGGCTACCCTGATCCTGATTATCTGAAACGTGTCAAACAGGAACTGAAAGATAAAGGAATTGAATAAGAAGACTGCTGGAAGGATGTCTTGACCCACATTTTCAAAAGACACGGTTGAAAAACCAGAGTAAATACCAATCTAAATCCTTATGTAGAAACACCTTTTTAAAATACTCATCTCAAGAAGGGGTTGATGTAAGAGTCAGAATCTATAATCTGTCATTTCTGGAGTGTGACTTTTTATGGAAGATAAAACCCCCAAAGATCTGTGTGATTTTGCTGCAGAGGTGTTGTGCTTCGTTCTTTGTTGGGGAGAGAGGAGTGCTGTGGGTCTGAAATCATCTTCTGTGTTCTTCACTTGAAATGCTAGCTGCCAGTTGGTCCTCTTTTTATTACCATCTCTTGGGTGGCCCCTTAGTTTGGTTGGTTGGTTGGTTGGTTGGTTGGTTGGTTGGTTGGTTGGTTGGTTTGCCTTTCAAGTACCCTAAAGGTAAAAGCCTAGTGTGAAGGCTGGGAAAGGCTTTGGTTATGGAAAAGTAAGAGGCACACATTCCCCTCCCTCATGGCCAGAAAAGTGGCCTGGAGCAGAGATGGGACAACCTTTGGTAATAAATAGCATCAGGCTATTGTTTTTCATGACACAGAGCCTGGTCTACAGTTGGTACTTAATAAATCTTTGCTGCCTGGCTCAGATTGCTAATAACCCAGCAGAGGGATAGATGCTCTCTAAATCTTTAGCAGAGGCAGGAGTAAGGAAGTCATTTCTGGAGTCCTCACCACTGATTTGAAAAACTGAATTTCTGATTTCAAACACTTGGCCTCTGAACTCTGCCCAGGCCTCTAACTTAGTCCTCGTTCCCCTCGATCCTTGTAATCCGCTATATGGAGTACACTTACCCTGCCAGAGTAATGCTATACATGTCTGAACATCTTTTTTCCTTGGATATGATTGTACTTTTGAATATACCCCACTTTCAGTTTTAATATACATAATCTAACTTTAGTTTCCCATGATATCATTTTCTCAGTAACTAGCCCCCCAGTAGTCGTTTTTCCATCCTTTTACTAAGTCCCACTAAGACATGTTTTCTCTCCTAAAATCCTTCTCCTTGATATTCTCTGGACAGAAAAGGTGAGAGTTAAGCCTACTACGAGGAATATATGACATGTCAAGATTTACTTTTAAATGGTTCTCTAAGCCAGAAGAAAGTTAGAATAGCAAATTGTCTCATTATCTACGTCCCATCCTCTCTCCAAAAATGATGAAAGAGAGGTCTTTTTATTTCCCTAAAGATACACATACACACCCATAGACATTTTTGGTTAGAGGGTTAATGCTTATTATGGACTTATTTTGTCTCCTTTATAAGAGCTTTATATCTGTTTGATTGATGTTATTAGTATCCTCATTTTATAACTGAGAAAACTGATGCATAGAGAAGATACCTAAATAAAGGTCACGCAGTTACTGCGTAGACATGCTGGGATTTGAAGGAGATAGTCCGGCTCCAAGGCTTCTGCAACCCAGAGCTATACTGCCTCCCGCAGGGGTTCTTCTCCATGGAGCAGGCTGAGTAATTTCTGTTATTCTGGGGTTCTCTCAGAAATGGATGACAGTCCTCACAGCAGATTTCCTCCCAAGAAGTCCTATTTGAAGAACTTAAAACTCAGAAACTTTTCCTTTGTCCAGAAAGATGAGGAAGCTTACATTAAATGATATGTCTTTTTTTAAAAAAATCAGATTTTTAATTTTTGGTGATCAGTAAAGTCTTTACCACTATGATTAATTGTTTTGTATCTTGATCTTTTAGCTAAACTTGCTTCAAAAAACCCCAAAAGTTTGGTTCCTGCTAAGGTCTGGATCCTTGATTACACTGTAGTGTGTGCTTAGGCAGTTTAATGATGTGAGTGCTTAGCATTTGGATTGCTGCTTTTGCTCTGTAGAAGGTATTATCATCTGTATCTGCTCTAAATAAAGTTATACCCATATTAGGAACAGAATGTCTGCGTTCTTTCCCCACTCTTTTTTTCTTTTTCCTCAGGTTGAGATTCTGGTGGTTTCCTACAACACATACTGTGTACAAGAAAACTACTGTTGCCTTCGCTGCTGCCACTTTCAGCTGTGAAAATCACATTTCTTCATATTTGTCCTCCTTATCACATAGGGTACTACAAAGATAAAACTAGGCTGTGGGTTTCATCGCTTCTCTCCTAGAGAAAGCATCTGCGATACCCTGTCAAACTATATTTGCCCTCTTCTTGCTCCTAGAGTTTCTGTTTCACCTTTCCAGCATCAGTGCTGGATTACCCAGATGGCTCACTGGGCACCAGCAAATTAGGGCACCCTTCTCTCCAAAGAAAAAACAGAATTGAAAATAATATTGGGATATTTGAAGATTCCCTAAAGATAGTAAGTTTCTGCACCCAATTCCAAGGTATGGGTGTTTCCCCCACACATCCAAGCAACCCTTCAACGCCAGCTGGGTGTCCTACAATTCAAATCAATTATGACACTATCTACCAGGAAATAGATAGCATCAGATTCCACAGGTTAAGGGCTCAAGCCCACAAGACTGCCCTCTACTTCAGATGCCAGTCACAAGCCCAGGTTGTTACCTGGACTTCTGACTGAATGGCTATAAATCTGAGGTTCCCACGACCCCCTCCTTGGGTTCAATTCATTTGCTACAGCAACTCCCAGAATTCAGGAAACCAGTATACTCACCAGGTTATCGGTGTATTACAAAAGGATAGAACTCAACAACTACCGCAGATGGAAGAGATGCATAGGGCAAGGTATGGGAAAAGCGCGGAGCTTCCATGCCCTCCAAACATGCCACTCTGCCTGCACCTCTACTTGTGCATTAACCTGGAAGTTCTCTGAACCCTGTCCCTTCAGATATTTATGGAGGCTTCATTACATAGGCACGATTGATTAAATCATTGACCATGGGTGAGTGAATTCATTTTCCAGTCCCTCTACTCTTCAAAAAGGTCGGGATGGGACTGAAAGTTCCAGTCTTCTAATCTTGTGGTTGGTTTCTCTGGCAACCAGCTCCCATCCTTGGTCACCTCATTAATATAAGCCACTTCATTAACATAAAAGACATCTTTATCGATCTCAGCTTTTAGGAAATTCCAAGGGTTTTAGGAGCTCTGTGCCAGAAACAGGGACAAAAACCAAATATGTGTTTCTTATTATAAATCACAACATCCCAGATAGCATCAAAGCAGTCACTAGGAAAACAAAGTCAAACCTTTGTGGGACTTCCGTATATTTATCTTATCGCTTAGTACAGTTTTTGCTTTGATTTCCACACGGGAGTTGGGCAATATTTCCTTTTCTATTGATTGGGTTCTGAGTCCTCTAAAATGCAGTGTTAGGCAAACATCAAGATGTTAACAACTTGTTCGGGAGTTGCAAGCCAGGTCAGTGAAAGTAAGGACAAACAAAACGGTAAGTGAGGCAAACAGATGCCATGCAGTGCAATGCCATGGGCTATCACCCCTGCCACTGTTTCATAAAGAGCCTTGAAAAGACACAGCAGGTCACTCAGCAGCTTTATTTGCTTGGCATAGGAGTTTAAACAAGGCATCTTGTTTAAATGCCTTAGTTTAGAGAGGAGGAAACTTTGTTTTATTTCCTGGGCAAACAATAGACAATGTAAAACAGATTACAGTCATAGCACATTAAAACCTGGTGGCACCTCTTGTCCTCCATGTCAATTGTTACCAGTCCTGCCTCTCCTTCTTCACTTCAAACTCACTGCCCAATTGGAATCTTCATAGCTCTCTCACAAGAATGACTCAAATACCCACTGAAAACTCTCTGTCCCCATCCCCGTTTTTTCCCCCACTGCAAATTACCTTTTGAAAAAACAGCTCCAATCTCATCACTCTTCTGGTGATATGCTTTCAGTGACTCCCAGAGTAGTGATTTGCTAACGTTATCTTGTGTCAGAGTCATTGGAGGGCTCAACAAACACATACTGCTAAGACTCACCCCCAGAGTTTCTGACCCAGGGGATAAGAGGGTTGGGCTCAAGAATTTGAATTTTAAAGTTCCCATGTGCGGCCGCCGGTGGTGGTCTGAAGATCACATTTGGAAGACCACTGGTCTAGAAAATAAAGTTCAAACTCTACAGCATGGCATCAAGGGTCTCTCATGCTACTTTGTTTATCCCATGTCCTTCCCTCTCCACCAAGCCCCTATTGTCTAGTCACACTAGATCACACCAGCTTTTTCAAACTACAGTCCACACTTTTATTCTCCTGGCCTTTGCTCTATGTGTTCTCTCGGGAATGCCTCTCCACCTCATTCTTCTCTTAGAAATCGCTTACTCTTCATTCAAGGTCTCAAATGCCACTACTGTAGGAACTTTCCTCCAATCTTGTTTCCAAATTATAAATATCTGTGTTCCTAATAATTTTTTTTTAATTGGGGAATTGGGGGGATGGGAACAGTCCTGGGGAATTGGGGGAAGGGGAACAGACAAGTTGCTGTCATTTTGTTCTTCAGTCTAGTTGTGGAGGACGTCATTTCACTGGCCCATGTTGGTATTATCATTGTGCTCTTCCTGGATGAGGCAGATTGGTCGCCGGCCACTGGATGGCTGCTCACGGAGGCTCTTGGCAGCTCATGCCGGCTGCCGGTCACTGACAGTAGCTTATGGCAGCCCACTGCAGCCCCACTGCAGCCTACGCTCTCGCTGGCCGCTCATGGCAGCCCAGCTCCAGGTCGAGCTCTTATTCACCATCTTAGCTGTAGAGGGCGCAGCGTCACTGGCCCTCATGTGGAATCCAACCCGGGGCCCTCCTGCTCAGAGTTCGTGCTCCCAAGCCAATTTCTAACCAAAAAAAGTCCATGTTTTCAACCACTCAACCCAGCTGTCATTGGATGTGACCAAAATGGTGACGCTAAGCCTTGAATGAAAGATTCATTGGACTGAGGCCAGCTAACTATCTGCCTAATTGTGAAAAATCAAACAAAATTAAATAATAAAATCAAAGAACTTAAGTAAAATGCTCAATTTTATTATAGTTTTGAGATCCATGCCTCTTATTAGTATCAGAACCCCTTTTTTTTTTTTAGCTGAGCCATCCTGCTACCTGTTGGTAGCTCAGCGGCTGCTCAGCTCGGGCTGGACTCGAACCGCTGTTGCTCAGAGCTCAAACTCTTGAGCGAGCTCTTAACCAACTGAGCCACTCGGCCGGCCCTCTTATTTTTATATTTGTCATTCAATTTTGTAAAATAGTAAGTATAGAACGCAAAAAAAAAAATTCCAATAACTGCAAAAATATCCCCACACAGGGTGGGCTCAACGGCTCAGTTGGTTAAGAGTTAGCTTAAGAGCGCAGGCTCTGAGCAACAGGGCCGCCGGTTCGATTTCCACATGGGCCAGTGACGCTGGCCTGAGCTGAGCTGCCGCTGAGCTGCCAACAGGTGGCAAGATGGTGAGAGCACGTGTTCCTAAGAACAAGACTGCCTGTTCGATGGTGGGCTATGCCCTCCCACAACTAAGACTGAACTCGGCACCGTGAGCTGAGCTGCCAAGCGGATGGATGGGGGGCGGGGGGGAGAGCACATGCTCTTAACATCAAGGCTGCTGGTTTGATTCCTGCATAGGATGGTGGCTATGCCCACCCGCAACTAAGGTTAAAGATAGCACCTAGAGCTTAGAGGCCATGAGCTGCCAAAGGCAGCCAGATGGTGACTGGCACCCTCCACAACTAAGACTGAAGAACAACAACTTGGCTGGTCCCCCTTCCCAATTCCCCAACATTGTTCCCCTCCCCCAATTCCCCCATTAAAAAATTAAATTAAATTAAATTAAATTAAATAAATATCCCCATACAAATAGAGGCAGTAAAACTGTAGACACTGGAGACTTTTAGCTATTAGGCATTGCCATCATGCTATGGATCAGATTGTGTATTCATCAGCCATTGAATGAAGGTTGCTATAGAAAAGGTGGTTTGGGGGGAGGGAGGGTCTGGGCGTCAGTGAATTATGTACAAAAGGGCAAGCTGAACAAGTCTAATGTACAAAAACTATAGCCACTTACTGAAGTTTAACTGATGCTTTTTACCATTAACATGTCTTATTTAGGAGTGTCAAAAGCAATTTTAGAAGGTGCTGGACAAGCTGTGGAACATGAATGTGAAGTACTAGGTATGGTCACATGTTACTTTTGCCCACAACTTATTGAAAATTAGAGGGCTGAGAATACTATGAGCGAAGCCATGGGTGGACTAAGTGGTGAGCATTTTGGAAAAAGGTTGGTTCACTGGGAGAGCAGACAGAGGTGGTATGACTTGGTGGCTGTGGGGGAGAGGTCCTTTATCGTACCACCCCATCTGTCTCTTCCTTTCTTCCTATTAAAAAGAACCCAGGCCTGGGTCCTAATAATCCGAGCTCCACCGCACACTGAGGGATCCTGGGATGTCATCTAACCTCTAAGAGCTTTGCTTCTCTCATGGGTCAGGCGATTCTAATGTGGAATATAATAATGGCTGCCCTACAGGTGGCTGTGAGGATCAGAAGGAATAATGAATGTAAAAACAGTTTTGTAACCTGTAAAGTGCTGTACAAATTGTCATCTTGTTCTATTTCATATAGCACATCATGTAGCTGACTTCTAATCCTTTTATGAATGAATGCGGGAGCCAGGGTGGGCCTGAGGTGTTTTCTGACACCAACCAATTCTCCAGTTCTGACACTATCTTCCTGAAGTTAGCACCAGATCCTACAAGTTAAAGGGCTTAGTCCCATGAGACTGCCCCCACTTCAAATGCCATGCTTAAGTCCCAGGGGCCACCTGTACTTCTGACTGACTGGCTATAAATTTAGAGGTTTCCACAAACCCCTTCTCAGGTTTTGACAATTTATTAGAACAGCTCACAGAGCTCAGTAAAACACGTTTCTAACATTTACCAGTATATTATAAAGAATACAACTCAGACACAGACAAATGAAAGAAATGTGTCAAATGACAAAACTA